TATATATTGCATGCTCACGTTTCAGCCCTTGGATATTTTCATTTTCTTGCTCTTGTAGAAATACACTCATCTCTGTTGTCTGGGAAGGCAGTTGAAGATGACCCAAGTTCTTGGGCCCCTGCTACCCATTTGGGAGACCAGCATGGAGCTCCTGGCTCCTGGCTTCAGTTTGGCCCAGACCTTGCTATTGTGGAAATTTGGGGAGTGAACCAGAGGATAGAAGATCTAACTCTATCTCTATCTCAACATCTATCTCTTTTTCTCTCTGCGTGTCTCCCTCTCTGTCAACCTGATTTCAAATAAATAAATAATATAAATCTTTTTTAAAAAAGATTTATATTATTTATTTGAAAGACAGAGTTACAGAGAGAGGTAGAGACAGAGAGAGAGGTCTTCCATCTGCTGGTTCACTCCCCTGATGGCCGCAATGGCTGGAGCTGCGTTGATCTGAAGCCAGGAGCCAGGAGCTTCTTCCGGGTCTCCCACGTGGGTGCAAGGGCCCAAGGACTTGGGCCATCTTCTACTGCTATCCCAGGCCATAGCAGAGAGCTGGATTGGAAGAGGAACGTCTGAGACTCCAACCGGCGCCCATATGAGATGCCGGCGCTTCAGGCCAGAGCTTTAATCCACTGAACCACAGCACCAGCCCCAATAAATCTTTAAAGTAAATAAAATAGCAACCTATTCCATTTTCTATATACTTAATTTCTCTCCAAAGTACTTTTTATCTTATCATATCTTATTAAACATCCTTACTCATTTTATTCATTGCCTATCTCCTCCCACTAGGCTGTTAAGCACCATGAAAATGGATTCCCCCGTTCCCTTGTTTTCTTAATTGCTATATCCTTGGTCCTTGGAGTGGTGACTGCTATAGAATAGACAACAACAAATTTTGGCTGAATGAATTCCCCCTGAAAAGAAGTTACAAGCACACACAGACTTGTAGGTTGGGTAGCAATTCTAAGCCCTTGAGTTGTCAACAAGAATGTCCTTAGGTAGAGTGGCCGAGGTGGAACGCATTCTTTGACATATTTCTGGCTCTGATATCTGCATCCTCTTACTGTTTTCCAGCTGCCCATTGGAGATACAGCGCTTCCTTCCCTTGCCACTTGGGTCCTCAGTGTGCTGTCCTTCTAATTCTCCTTGTCCCCTGCTTCACATACATGCTAGGTTTTTGTTTTGAATATTTCCAGAAGTACTCATATGTTGTGCTGGACTAGATGACTGTGACCAGATACATACACAGTTGCCTTACAATGCATGAATCCATACCTCAATGGGAGAGTTGCCCATATAGTGTTGGCCATTTCAGGCACTGTGACAGGTAGATACACAATGCAAAGCAGAGCCATTTTTGGATGGGTAAGTCTGGAGCATCCTCAAATGATCCTAAGTAGCTGCCTTGGAGCTGCCTTGATTATCAAAGGTGCCTGCTTCTGGATTTCTAGGAATCGCTGAATTGAGAACTGGACCAATGATAATAACCAGTAGGCATTAGATGGGCTCTGCTTCCCCTCCAGTAAGTCTTTGAATTAAGGAACTGACTCTGGGGTGCAGACCTTTCATGCTCTGGGTAGTTGGTATCAACAGAGGCAGAGAAAAAAGCTCTCACTCTTTTCTTCTGCTCCAGTTGGTACTGAGTATTGCAGACACTAACCAGGACTTAACATGGTAATCCCTAGCTCAAATCTCCATGTGCCTGAAAACTGGTAACTTGTTTTTCTGGCATGTGCTTGGTTTCTATATAAAGCAACAGATGTTTTGTTTTTGCCTCTTCCCTTTCTGTCCGTGGCTCCTAATGTGGGTGATTTTAACCAAGTGTGACAGGTTTCAGATTTTTATTTATAGCAATGGAAAACTGTTTTCATGTATTTCAGAGTTATGGGCCTCTACAGCTGAGCCTTTATAAAATCTCAACTTAAAATTCTGAAGGGGAGAAGTGCAAGAAGCTTGAAGATTCTAAAGGTTAGGAACTATATTCAGAAAGAAGAGATGTGCAGCGGGTTAAGTGGGTTAAGCTGCCGCCTAGGCAACAGCATCCTTTATCAGAGTACCAGTTTGAGTGCTATCAGCTCCACTTCCAATCCAGATCCCCATTAATGAGCCTGGGGATGCACCAAAAGATGGCCCAAGTGATTGGGTCCCTGCCAGGATGGAGTTCCAGGCTCCTGGCTATGGCCATTTGGGGAGTGAACCAAAGGATGGAAGATTCTCTCTCTCTCTTTCTCTCTCTCTCTCTCTCTCTCTCTCTCTCTCTCTCAGTATCTCCTCCCTCCCCACCAACCCTGTAACTCTGGCTTTCAAATAAAGTTTTTTTAAAATCTAAAAAAAAGTGAGTATAATTAATACACAATAGACTATACATGTTTCATATTATTTTTCATATATTTTAGTTAATTTTTTTACATAAAGTATGAGACTTGAGTTGAGCCCTATTTTTTTGCATATGGATGTCCAGTACTACAGCACCATTTAATGAAAATCTACTCTTTCTCGATTGATTTGCTTTAGCCTCTTTGTCAAAAATTAATTTAGCATATTTGTATGTGTCTATCTGCAGATTTTCTATTCTCTTTAATTAATCTGTGCATCCATCCCTTCACCAATAGTATACTTTATCTATGAATATAGTTATATAGTAAACATTAACACTATTAAAGTAATTCATCCCACACTATTTTATGTTAAGATTGTTTTAGCTATGCTTTGAGCTTTATCTTTCTGTGTAAGTTTTAGAACAAGCCTGCCTATGTCCACATAAAATTGTGTTGAGATTTTGATAGGAATTATATTACACTTACAGATCAGTTTGGGGAGAATTGACAACTTTGCTATGTTGACTTTCCCAAACCACGAAAATGGCATGTCTCTCTGTTTATCTTAGTCTTCTCTGATTCCTTGCATCAACATTTTGTAATTTGCAGATCAAGAAATTGCTTTGTTAAATATTATGTAAAAATTTAATTTTTCTTAGAGAAACTAGAAATGGTACCATTTTAAATCTTGGTTATATTATGTGCATAATTAGTAATAATTCATAATTAGAGCTGATTTTTACATGTTACTTTTGTATTCTTTGACCTTAATGGGCCCATTTATTAGTCATAGGGTTTTTTTTTTGTAGCTTCTTTATAATTTTTAATGGATGATAAAATTATCTTCAAATAATGTTTAGTTTTGAGGATTTTTTTGGCAAAGTTCATGAAAGATACTGGTCTAAAGTTTTCTTTTTTCATTGTCTTTATCTGGTTTTGGTATCGAGGTAATACTGGCCTCATAAAATGGATTGGGAATTGTTCCCTCCTCTTGTGTTTACTAAAAAAATTATGTAGAATTGGTGATAATTAGTACACTCTCATATTGATCAGAAATGACTAAACCACCTTCAACGGTTGGTCTTTGAGCAAGAACTTTCTTGTGAGGTTAAACCCTCAGTTTAAGATAAAGCAAACTTCAGAGGTTCTAAAACAGGAGCCTGTCACCCCAACCCTGATGCAGCTGTATGGCAAGTTCTTTCTTTCTTTCAAGATTTATTTTATTTATTTCAAAGAGTTACAGAGAGAGGTAGAGACAGAGACATGGAAGACGCTCCTGATTCCTGACTTTGGATCAGTTCAGTTCCAGCTGTTGTAGCCAACTGGGGAGTGAACCAGTGGATGGAAGACCTTTCTCTCTCTGCCTCTGCCTCTGTGTAACTCTGTCTTTCAAATAAATAAATAAATCTTTACAAAAAAAAAGGCAGTGTTGGAGTTTTATGGGATACTATCAAATCACCCAACATATGGGTCTTTTACCATGCTAAATCACCTACAGTTCCCTGGCAGGCGATGTTCTCACATTCCTCTTCCTTTGAACCTACACATATGCTTCTTCCTCATCAAGCGTGTCCTTTGTCTACCAAGATGGTACTGAATCCCTGGACTCAAGATCTGACTCATGGGGTGCAGTGGCATAGTAGGTTAAGCCTCCGCCTGTGGCACTGGCATCCCATAAGGGTGCCTGGTTCAAGTCCTAGCTGCTCCACTTCCAATCCAGCTCCCTGCTAATGGCCTGGGAAAGCAGTAGAAGATGGCCCAAGTCTTTGGGTCCCTGCACCCATGTGGAAGACCCAGATGAAGCTCCTGACTCCTGGCTTTGGATCAGCCCAGCTCTGGCCATTGCAGCCATTTGGGGAGTGAACAAGTGGATGGAAGAACTCTTTCTGTCTTTCCCTCTTTCTGTATCTGACTTTCAAAATAAATAACCTCTTTTTCTCTTCCCTGGAGTATTTCCATCACTATTCAAATAGCAGGTATTTCAAAATGCTCATGGGTAAAAGGAATTAAAGATAAGTTTATTTTGGTGTAAAAAATGTTAAAACTCATGTACAGTTTCATTCCATTTTCCATGGAATTTTTTGAAGACCACTTGTATGTTTCTACATTGCCCATTGAGAATTCTTTTGATTCCATAGACTCCTCTAGTTGCTGCTCTATTTCACAGTCTGGTCCCTCACACCTCAAAATATAGTCTATGGGCCAGCAGCATTGGCATTACCTGGCACTCCAGTTGTTAGAAATGCATGTCTCAATCCCCACCTCAAACCTACTAGGAAACTTAAGAAGCACAGATCTACATTACTGTAGGTCCTTAAGCTGGGCACATTGGAATCACCTGAGGAATTTCAAAAAGTACTGATGCCTAAGACCCACCTATGGAGATTCCCCATAATGGAGAATCTGCCCAGATACTGAGATTTTTAGAGACTTCCTAGGTGTTCTCAAATTCAGCCAAGTCAGAGAACCATGGGTCCAATTCCCTTTAGTTCTTCAATTTGTAACAAACTGCCTTTTGCCTCCCCTATAAACAGAAAGGCCCTTGTTAACCTTACCAAGTGTAGTGGTTAATTGTATGTATCAGCTCAGTGAGTCTATGGTTTGGTCAAATATTATTCTGCCGCTTTGTCAGAATTATTCTAAATATTGTGTGAAGGTTTTTTTTTTTTTAGATGAAATTACCATTCAAATCAGTAAGCAGACTTTGAGTTAAGCAGACTACTCTCCATAATGTGAGTGGGCTTCATCCAATTGGTTGAAGATCTTAAAGACTGACTTTCCTGAAAAAAAAAAAAAAAAAAGTAATTCTACCAGCAAGACCACCTTTGGACTCAAACTGCAACCCTTCTCTGGGTTTCCAGCCTATCAGAAAGCAGGTATAGATGAAGATAAAAGATATAGATCTCTCTTTTTATCCATAAATAAAGATGCAGATCATATAATGACAGATACTGCTTATCTATAAATATATACAGGTACAGAAAAATAGATATCAATGTAGATATTTCTTATTGGTTCTATCTTTATGGAAAAACTTAGTGTTTCCAAAAAATAATGATCTATTCTTTATCTCTCATCTTACTTAAACTCTAGACAACTTCTTTCTTGAAAATTGTTTTGTCTTAACATTCTGTGACAGGATGCTTTCCTGGATTTCCACATACCTTTCTGGCTGGCTACTCCTCAGTTTACTTTGTAGACTTCAAACTGTGATACTAAAGTTCCTCATGACTTGGTCGACTTAGGTGCCTTACTCTTCCCTTTCTTTACTCTCTCCTTGGGTGATCTCATCCAGTCCTTCTGAGGCTGATGGCAACCAACTCAACCTAAGCCCTCAACTCTAAATGGATATGTGCATTTTTAAACTGCCTAGTCTCTTTCTCCACCTTACTGTCTCACTGGCCTCCTGAACTTTGCCCATCCTACTAAACTTTTGATTTCCACCTTCCACCCCTTAAATACCTGTCCTCCCTCAGCTTTCTTTATGTTGGTAAATGATACCACCAATTCTTATAGCTACTCAAGGCAGAATCCCAGGTATCATCTTGGCCATATCTCTTCCTCAGCAACAAATCTAGTTTGTGCTGCTGATCTAGTTTACCTCCAGGGTTTATCTGTCTACTTTTTCTTTTAGCTCTACAGATGTCATAGTCTAAACCCCACTTGTGTGTCCAGCACCACCCCATGCCTTTCAATGTGCCATCAACATACATCACCTCTTCTTGGTAGCATTCTCTGACTCCTCCCTCCCATGTCCTATTTACTTTATTTTTATTTTTTAAAGATTTATTTGAAAGGCAGGTCTACACACACAAAGAGAGGCAGAGGTAGAGAGAGAGAGAGAGAAAGAGAGAGAGAGAGAGAGAGAGATCTTTCATCTGCTGGTTTACTCCCCCAAATGGCCACAATGGCTTCCACGTGGAAGCCAGGAGTCAGGAGTTTCATCCAGGTCTCCCATTGTAGGTGCAGGGGCCCAAGGATTTGGCCATCTTCCGATGTTTTTCCTAGGTGCACTGGCAAAGAGCTGGATTGGAAGTGGAACAGCTGGGACTTGAACCTGCACCCATATGGGATGCTGGCATTCAGGCAGTCATTTAACCTGTTATGCCATAATGCCAGCTCCTCTATCTATTTTCATTTTTTTGAAGAATTATTTTTATTTATTTGAATTACAGAGTCACAGGAGTGGTAGAGACAGAGAGAGAGAGAGGTCTTCCATCTGTTGGTCCACTCCCCACATGGCCACAAAGGCCAGAGCTGGGCTGATCCGAAGCCAGGAGCCAGAAGCTTCTTCCGGGTCTCCAAAGTGGGTGCAGTGGCCCAAGGACTTTGGCCATCTTACACTGCTTTCCCAGGCCATAGCAGAGAGCTGGATCAGAAGTGGAACAGCTGGGACTCAAACCATATGGGATGCCAGTGCTGCAGGCAGGGCTTTACCTGTTATGCCGTAGTGCTGGCCCCCAAAAGGATAACTTTTTAAAAAAGGATATAATAATGACTCTCTGCAACCTATGAAGTTCAGGATCATTCCTTCTTTATGAGATCTAGAGGTATAGTGGGTATTGCTTTGGTCAGAATTTCTCATTAACGGCCAGACTTCCAGGAATTGAATGACTACTTATATTTTCTGCCCTTTTTAGGAAGTCTTAGAAGTGGCATAGTGCTAAGTGCATGATGGAGGGGGAGGAGCAGCCATGGTAATTTTATTATAATAGGCTATCAGTCATTTTGGGGATACAGCAACCAGTTCTAGGTAGTAGTCTTGCTACAATAACAATTTCAGGTTGCCAGACATGGAAGGAATTTTAGAGACAACACTGAGTGAGAGGATGTTGGATTTTCTTCCAACTCTTTTTTGATCCCCAACTATCTCCTCACCTATATAGCAGAAGTAACCAAAATGATTGAGCTAGATAGGACACCCATTGCCCAATTCAGAGTCTCATAATTTTTCTTAACAGAATATAAGCTTATGACAAGATATGCTTCTAAAGAGAGACTAGAAAATGTTGGGGGAGAGACCAAGATGGCAGAACAGGGAGGGAGCTTACTGCTCTGGTCTAGAGGAAGATAGTTAAAAAAAAAATAGAGGGGCAGGCGCTGTGGCACAGTGTGTTAAAACCCCGGTCTGCAGCACTGGCATCCCATATGGGTGCCCATTTGAGTACCCGCTGCTCCACTTCCAATCCAGCCCTCTGCTATGGCCTAGGAAAGCAGTAGATGGCCCAAGTCCTTGGGTCCTTGCATCCATGTGGGAGACCAGGAAGAAGCTCCTGGCTTCAGGTCGGTGCAGCTCTGGCTGTTGCAGCCAATTGGGGAGTGAATCATCGCATGGAAGACCTCTCTCTCTCTCTGCCTCTCTGTAATTCTGCCTTTCAAAGAAGTAAGTTAATCTTTAAAAAAAAATCAGAAGCAATTCCATGAATTAAAGAAATCCATACATGACAGAAAATAAAATTTCTCCTAGGAAATTCAGATTTTAAAGAGAAATCAAAATGAAATATTGGAGATAAAGAATTCAATAGATGAAATAAAAATGTGGTGGAAAGCCTTTAACTACTTGGTGAGCCAGAAGAAAGAATATCTGAGTTAGAAAACACATCTCTGATTTAACTGAAAATTGATCCCTGTTAAAAATAAGAGTGGGTTGGCCGGCGCCGCGGCTCACTAGGCTAATCCTCCGCCTTGCGGTGCCGGCACACCGGATTCTGGTCCTGGTCGGGGCGCCGGATTCTGTCCCGGTTGCCCCTCTTCCAGGTCAGCTCTCTGCTATGGCCAGGGAGTGCAGTGGAGGTTGGCCCAAGAACTTGGGCCCTGCACCCCATGGGAGACCAGGAGAAGCACCTGGCTCCTGCCATCGGATCAGCGCGGTGCGCCGGCCGCAGCACGCTGGCCGCAGCGGCCATCGGAGGGTGAACCAACGGCAAAAGGAAGACCTTTCTCTCTGTCTCTCTCTCTCACTGTCCACTCTGCCTGTCAAAAAAAAAATTAAAAAAAAATAAGAGTGGGTATAAGAGAGGGAGGAGATGTACAGTTTGGCACATGCTCACTTGGACTTACCCCTAATGGTAGAGTTAGCAACATGCCATGGGACTCCAAATTCCATTAAATTGGCAATTACTAACGCCATCTCACTAGTTAAAGTGATCAATTTAAGTTCATAATTGATCATAAAGACAGGATTAAGTGTCAAAAGGATCACATAAACAAGACCAGTGTCTGCCAATAATAATTGATAGAATTAAAAAACAAGAACAATCCAACATGGGAAGTGGGATACACAGCACACTCATAGAATGGCAAATGCCCTAAACAGCACTCTGGCCTCAGAATCAGCCCTTAAGGCATTCAGATCTGGCTAAAAAGCCCATGAGAGTTTCACAGGCATGGAAAGCCAAGAACCATGGCAAAAAATGACCAAAATGAAAGATCTCTGTGAGATCCCAGTGGAAAGAATGGGCTATCAAAGAAGGAGGTACCTTTCTCTGAAAGGAGGAGAGAACTTCCATTTTGATTATGGCCTTGTCTAAATAAGGTCAGAGTTTGTGAACTCAAGAGGCTTCCATAGCCTTGGCAGCTCATGACAAGAGCCTCGGGTGATTACTGACATCATAAATAAGAGTGTCAATTGTTAAATCAACAGGAATCACTGTGCACTTACTCCCCATGTAGGATCTCTGTCCTTAATGTGTTGTACTATGAGAATTAATGTTAAAAATAGTCTTCAAAGAGTACTTTATACTTCTGTGTGGGTGCAATCTGTTGAAATCTTTACTTAGTATATACTAAGTTGATCTTCTGTATATAAAGATAATTAAAAATGAATCTCAAGGAAGAACGGGATGGGAGAGGGAGTAGGAGATGGGGTGGTTTGCAGATGGGAGAGTGATTATGGGGGGAAAAACTGCTATAATCCAAAAGTTGTACTTTTGAAATTTATATTTATTAAATGAAAGTTTAAAAGAATGAAAACACATCTCCAGAAATTTTACAGTCAGACCCCCGCCCCCCAAAAAAAAGAAAAGAAGGAAAAAAGAAGAAATTAGAAAACTCAAAAACAGTGTTGGGAAAGTAAAATACACTAACACTAAAAATAGTGTTAGGAAAGTAACATAACTTGATTCAAGTTTTAAAAATAATTACTATGGGGGCTGGCGCTGTGGCACAGCATGTTAAAGCCCTGGCCTGAAGTGCCAGCATCCCATATGGGTGTCAGTTCCAGTCCCAGCTGCTCCACTTCAGATCCAGCTCTCTGCTATGGCTGGGAAAGCAGTGGAATATGGTCCAAGTCCTTGGGCCCCTGCACCCATGTGGGAGATCTGGAAGAAGCTACTGGCTCCTGCCCTTGGATTGGCACAGTTCTGGTCATTGTGGCCACCTGGGGAGTCAACCAGCGAATGGAAGACTTCTCTCTCTCTCATCTCTCTCTCTCTCTCTCTGCCTCTACCTCCCTGTAACTCTGCCTTTCAAATAAATAAATAAATCTTTTAAAGAAAATGTTGGAGATTTTTGGGATACTATCAAATGACCCAACATATGGGTCTTAGGAGTTTCTGGAGGTGTGGAAAGAGAGAAGGGATTAGATAGCTTTTTTAATGAAATAATTACAGAAAATGTCCCTAATTTGGAGAAAGAAAGGGACATCCAAGTACAGGAAGCACATAGAACTCATAATAGACATAACCAGAAGGAGTCCTCACCATGACACATTGTAGTCAAACTCTCCACTGTAAAACATTAAGGAAAGATTCTAAAATTGAAGTAACCCTATTGTGAGAGT